CATCTAACAGTGATTCTGGCTCCCTCTTATGGCCGATTGAGGAAACAGCAACCAATCACATTTACAGCATGATTTAAAGAAACAGGTACAGCATTTAAACTGCAGTGTCTCTGTATGCTGGTTTGTGTGTTCTCCAACACAACTCTCACAACGCTTCTCCGAACACACTCGCTCTCCCAACGGGGAGCTTACCTAACAGGCGCCATCTTGATTTTCGATTCTGCGCATGCTCGGAACAATTTTCATCGCATAAATTTTATTTTTCATTTTTTTTAAAGCTTTGCCCATGCACAGACCTATTTATGTTCATATGCGCGCACACGCAGAGCATGTGTCAGGCGCGCGCGCAAAATTGGCGTGCACCGAACCAGCAGTAATGCCGGCAGCAACCCAGCTCTCGGCTGTACCTTATCTAGTCTGTCCCAGCTCCCAGACTGGGAAGATTCCTACAAAATGCAGGTGGTTCTTCACTAGGATAGCTCAAAGTCTGGAAAAAAAAGGGACTTATGATCGGTTTTGCACATTTATGACCATTGCAGCATCTTCTATTGTCACGTAGTCAAAATTGGGAATTGCTGGACAAATGACTCACGTTTATGACGGTCACAGCATCCTGCGGCGACCCCCCCTCCCCCTTTTGTGATCCAGATTCACTTCGCCACCATGCGACTCACTTAACAACTTCAGCGATTCCCTCAACAGGCCGTGGCTGGAAAGGTCGCAGAATGGGGCAGGGCTTAACTTAACAGATGTCTTGCTTGGCGACAGAAACCTTGGGGTCAGTTGTGGTTGTAAGTTGAGGACCACTGGTAGGCGTTAAGTGATAAAAGTGGCCAACTGAACTGGTGTTTTTTTTCCTGCACTTGACCTTAATGTTCCCAGTGTGGCAGTTTTTTAATTGAGCCAGGCTAGATAAGGCTCAACGGGAAGCCACCATTTATTTCATGTAAATATATAGGCTCCCTTGCTCGAGCAGGGGGGGGTTGGACTAGATGACCTCCAAGGTCCCTTCCAGTTCCGTTGTTCTATGATTCTGTAAACGTCTCCTGCTCGAGCAGAGGGGATGGACTAGAAGACCTTCGAAGTCCCCCCCTCCTGTGAATCTGTGTTCTACTTAAGGCAATTAAACCTCCTTGATGGATTCTTATCGCCACTTCTAGCTCAATCGTTCTCCCGTGACCTACGAGCCTCTGAATGAAATCCAGATCAACGAAATCAACTCCCAGGTCCGCCGATTCCTGGAGGGAACCATTGATGAGTTAGATGTGAGTGGCTCGCTGGCGGATACAAAGGACATTCAAGTCCTCCAGATTTTATATATATATTTAGTGTCACAACCCCTGGTATGCCCAAATATGGGAGGAGGCATACTGCTTCTTTTTCTCTGTCTATCGGCTCATCACAAGAGACCGTCCAGACAGAAAGCCAATATTTTTACTGTTGCCTTTGTCACATTTGTGTTGTATTTGAGCTATAAATAAATAAAGGGAGACTAGTATAGATCTATTTCAAGCTATTTAGCTCTCATCCGCTAGCCATACCCTTACTGGGATTCGAACCTGTGCATACATATTACATATTAAGCAGTTGTGTTAACCACTAAGCCACAAGGTTCTCCTCCTTTATCGGCTGAGCCAGGAAAATAAGTATGTATTTAGTGTCACAACCCCTGGTATGCCCACATGTGACACTAAATACATACCTATTTCCCTGGCTCAGCTGATAAAGGAGGAGAACCTTGTGGCCAAGGAAAATGTTGAGGGTCGTCCTGAGCTCACAATGACAGCCTTCTCTCTGCTTCCCCCTTTTTCCTACAGATCACGAGCATCCGTCAAATCCAAGAGATCTTTAACCAGTTCAAAATCATCTTAAGGTAAGGGCTTTGGGAATGCAGATAGTCCTTGCTTAACGACCAGTCGCTTAGCAGCTGTTTGGGGTTGTGAATGCAATTTTGAAGTTTTGGTTGCGCCAGATGCTCGCACACACACACATATACACACACGCTTCACTTTTACGGCATTTGCAGCCCCCTTGACCATGTTTCTAGCTGAAATATTCCCATTGGGCAGAATGGATTTAGCAGGAAAATTCCCCTTTGAGACATGATCTATTCCTGAACCCCCAAAACTCTTTATTCACTGAACTTTTGGACACTTAAAAGCATGGAATTTATTTAAAAAACCTTGAAATATAAGAGGAAAAGATGGCATTCTACATGGGGCTGCCCTTGAAGAGTGTTCGAAGACTGCAGTTGGTCCAGAATGCAGCCGCACAAGCGATATTGGGTGTACCTAGATACACCCATGTTACACCCATCCTCGGTGAGCTGCTCTGGCTCCCTATTGGTCTCCGGACGTGCTTCAAGGTGCTAGCTGTTACTTTTAAAGCCCTACATGGTTTAGGACCTGGGTCCATGAGATACCGCCTCCTGCCACTTCCCTCCCAACGACCA